GGTGCGTGTGTGTGTGTGTGTGTGTGTGTGTGTGTGTGTGTGTGTCTACAGAACATATTTCTATACACAGTGAGTGCTTGGGGTTTCAGGAGTTTCTGTGGAACAGATGGAAGCCATGTGAACACCAGCTGACCACTGTTGGCAATAGGGTAACATCAGACCCTTTGTGGTTTCAGGCCTTTCTCTTGACTCCACAGCCCTTTCTATGTGGGAGGCCCTGTTTCGAGGTGGGAAAAATACTGGTGGAGTCAGAGCTCCTTGGTCTCACCCAATGTCTGACTCTTGCAAGCTGGGTGACCTTGTGCAAGTCTCCCAACTTCTATGAATTCACTCTGGCCATTGTGAAAAGCAGAGTCCAAGGCTTCACAAGAAGAGGTGTTACATCATTCATTATGTACAAAATGGGTGTGAAGAGCCGGCCGAGTCAGTCACTCAGCCCTCCTGCCTGCTGTGTTTCCTTCTCTGCAGTGAGAAGTGGGACTCAGAGATTTCCGGGGTGTTTTCCAGCTCATGCTCAGGCTGTGACGTGTTTAATGAAATGACTTTCCTTCTGAGACCATGGGAGTTTGGTTGTAATGATTTTCGAGGCTTCAAACTCTCACGTCTACAAGCACCAGGCAGGCAGAACAGAGCTGAGCCTGGTTGGGTGGGACCCTGTGAATGGAAGACGGCCTGTCCTGTCTAAAATATGGGCTATTGTTTAGCTCCAGTAGATGGAAGTTATACAGGTTCTAGGACCCCAGATCTTACCTTTGTAAGAGTCTCTCTCTCTCTGTCTCTGCCTCTCTCTCTCTCTGTCTCTCTCTCTCCAGATGTGTGCATGTGGAAGCCCATGAGGCCCCAGATCTTACCTTTGTAAGAGTCTCTCTCTCTCTGTCTCTCTGTCTCTGCCTCTCTCTCTCTCTGTCTCTCTCTCTGTCTCTCTCTCTCCAGATGTGTGCATGTGGAAGCCCATGATCAACCTCATGTTATTCCTAATTGGCCAAGTAGGTGAAACATTGGCTGGCCAGTCAGTCCCAGACCACTTATCTCTACTTCCCAGTGCTGGGATCACCAGCACACATCACTGTGCCTATTGTTTTTACTATGGGTTCTGGGGATCAAACTCAGATCCTTATGCTTGCAAGGCAAGCAATGAGCTATCCCCCTAGCCCCACCTTTATAAAAGATTTTTGGAGATAGGGTCTTACCGTAGTCTCAGCTGTCTTGGAACTCGTTATATGTAGACAAGGCTGGCCTCAATCTCACAGATATCCATCTGCCTCTGCCTCCTGAGTACTGGGTTAAAGGCATGTGCCACCATGCCTGGTTAAATAGCTTTTTTTTTTTTTTTTTTCCAAGACAGGGTCTCCCTGTAGCTCCAGCTGGCTTGGAACATCTAGACCAGGTTATCTTCAATGTCACAGAAATATACCTGCTTCTGCCTCCTGAAAGCTGGGGTTAAAGGCATGTGTCACCATGATCCTCATAAGAGGATCCATCATAAGTTTGGCACCTGAGCATTTTTCAGTGGTCTGAGATCTGAGCAAGCTGTACTTGTTGGCTGGGTTTACAGTAGGCTATTTCTCTATGAACTCCTCTTCCTTCAAGGCCTGGGCCAAGTGGTAAGTGGGCAGGCCACACTGTCTATTTCTGTGATACCCCAGTGTCCACCATCCTGCCTGGATGTGTCCCATTAGAATTGTGTTTGCAAGGGCAATGCCTGGAGCACCTTCATCTTGCTTACTCTGTATCCCAAGGCCCAGAACAGATCCTGAACGTACCCAGCCCTGATGCATAGTGATGTTGATAAATCTCCCAGTGACATAGAACTGGCAAAATCTCAGGGCTGGGCACATGGCTTAGCTGGCAGACTCCTTGCCTAGCATTCTGGAAGTCCTGGGTTCAATCCCCAGCACTGCACAAACTGGGTGTGGTAGTATATGTCAGTAATCTCATCTCTCTGAAAACAGAGGTCAGAGGATCAGGAGTTCATCCTCTCTCATACAGCAAGTTAGAGGCCAGCCTAGGATACATGAGACCTTATTTAAAACAAGAACAAAACCCTCCCCCCCGCCCGCACCAAATGGCAACGTCTCATGGCAGTACAGGCCTGGATAACGTGGCATCTGGAATTTAACTGCGGACCCACACCAGGAACAAAGTACACAGTGGTTTTTGTGCCCTCGCTAGAGAGGAAGTAACCAGGAGCTGCTCATGCAACCCTGCCCGGGTGGCTCTGATTCTGTCCAACTCTTGTTGGCTTTGAAATGCAGACAGCAGCAGCGGTGACAGCCAGGGCCCCCAACCCTTCTGTATCCAGAATCTCAACCCCTCATGACCTGCTTATGCATGTGATCCTGGGCCCTTACCAGATCCCAGAATCCTTAGCTTAGTGAAACAGAGGAGAGAATCATGGCTCAGGGATTCTAGGGTGTCAAAGCTGGAAGGACCAGAGTGGGCCTCGGACTTAACCCTGACCTCAAACTGGTGTTCTGGTCACTGCAAGCACCACACTGAGTTGTTTCTGAAGCTAGAGGATCATAGGGGGAACCCATGACTAATGTTTTGCTAAGTGGACACGTTGTCAAATTGCCTTCTAAATATGTTTGCTTAGACTAGAGACTCGTACTGCTCTTGCCCTTGGCCAGAGAAGCTTCGCTTTGCCTTGGGTAACAATGAGCGAAAAGACGCATAACTGGTCAGGGCCAAGAACGGTGACTGTTGTAGGCTCAGCCATAAATGGGATATCAACTCCCTTCCCTCCAAGCTCAGGGAGCATCACCGAAGAGAGAGGAAAGAATGTAAGAACCAGAGGATGGGGAGGGACGCTGTGAAATGCAGGGAGGGCTCGGCATGGCGGTTGCACTTGTGAACTCACTGTAGCTGTGGTAATCTGTACAAGGGGGTCTGCCAACATTTCATCATGGATGGAGGAGGAGCTCATGGGGCCCCACTCCTCCATGAGGAGCCATTGGCAGGTACTTAATGGTTGCCGGGGGAGGAGTTCTGCCCCTCAGTGGTGTGGTTTCTGGTAGGTTGCCCTTGCTTGAGGACATGCCCCCACCAACCCCACACTCATGCAGGCCATTCTAATGAAACTCAGTTCTCTCTCTCTCTCTCTCTCTCTCTCTCTCTCTCTCTCACACACACACACACACACACACACCATGAAAGTTGCGGGGAGACTTGTGGGGAAGAAGGGGTCGGCAGGAGTGGAAGGGGGTAAGAGAGGATAAGGGGTGGATCTGATCAATGTGTTCTATATATGCATTAAATGACGTCAGAAGAAATTAAAAACAAAAGCAGCCAGAGCTTCTGTGGGCTCTGACCTCACAGCCCGTGCTCCTGGACGCGAGCCAAGTCACACTGTTCATAGTAACTGGAACGGTGGTTGGAGCTCACGCTCAGAAGTCTCATGGATGGACGCATTGAAACAGGCAGTCCTCCATTCCTGGTTTACAGATGAGGAAACTGAATCACAGAGTCACAGAAAGGTTTGGTAAACTTCCCCAGGTCGTACAGGTAGGATGAGGTCCAGGAGGGCTTCAAATTTAGAACCATGTTCTCAGATTTTGACTTAAACTTGGTGTGTACATTCTTTAACTGGAGTCACATAATAGGAAGCTTTAACTCTTATCTTTTTTCTCCTGCCAGAATGCATTTGAGATCCATCCAAAACATATCAATAGTTTGTTACTTTTGATGGTCAAGTTGTAGTTCATTATCTGCCTGAAACAGACCCTGGTGATTGTCCAGTAGCTAGTGTGTGGTGAGGACGGATGATGGAAACAGCATACTACAGTGCATAATTGAGATGGCTGCCACTGTGGGCAATTGGATCATGCTTCCTCTGACTGCCTCTGGGGAACTAAGCTGAATTTGCCTCAGATGGCCCCACTGAAAGCTGGGGGCCTCAGCCACCATCCAGCGGCTCCTGGTTGCCTGATGAGGCAGATCCCTTCCCTGGTAACTGGCACCCTTGCCCTTCTTGGGTTGAGTAGATTACAGCAGATTTGGAGGAAGACCCTTGTGGGGGGAGCAGAGAGGCATACCCCTCTGCCAGCAATCATAGAATGTGATCCCAGCTGCCCTGGAGGCAGCTGTGGTCAGAGCTTGTGGAAGGGCACACAGACGTCCCATCATGTCCCATCCAATAGACCCTTCTGGGGTCATCGCACCCTCTCCACCTGGTGATGAGCTCCATATTTATCTGTGTGCCCCTGCCGGTTTCCATGGGGACCATGGGAACCTCTGACCTCCTGTCCTGTAGTTATAAAGGCATGGCATGCAGGAAGGTCTACTCCAGACCCTCTTAGGAGCTTCCAGAAGTATGTGTTCAAGTTCCTTCCCAAAACAACCTCAAAATGAAGCCCTTTGATTGGGGCTGAGAGTCTCCAAGTTACTCAGATGTGGTAATTTGAGGGCACTGAGACTGTGCGTGCCTGGCTCTGCCCACTTGTGTTTTAAAATGATAATTTTGTCAACTACAACTATTCTCTCTCTCTCTCTCTCTCTCTCTCTCTCTGTAGTATGCATGTAAATGCATGGTCACATTTGGTACCAGAGCCTTCTCTTAATGGTCACTAGATCTGTGGAGCTCTTACCTTTTTTTCCTATTAAGGTTAGCTTCTGTTAACTCTGCATTAAGGGTATTTTGAGAATGTGACACTGGGCTGCTTGGCCTCCTCTTCCAATCACCCCAGTCATGTTAGAAAAGCAACAGATGAACTGATGTCTCGGTGAGTTGGTCTAAGGACCAAAGTGCTTTTGGACAAAGTGAAACACCCCCCCCCCCGCAACTTGCAAATGCTTCTGTGATGGTTTGATCATGAAATATCCCCCACAGGCTCTTGTGTTGAGTGCTTAGTCCCTAAATGGTGGTGTAACTTTGGAAGATTCTAGAAGCCTTAGGAGGTGGGGCCCATCTGGAAGGCCGAGGTCATTGGGCAGGTCTGTGTGTGTCTGTGGGGCATCCTTGGCCACTTCTTGATCATTGCTCTGCTTCCTGTCCATCACAGGTTCAAGACCTTCCTCTTCTACAGGATGTTCCTTCTAAGACAGGCGGTCATGGATGAAGCCATCTGAAACCGTGAGTCAAAGAGAATCTTTCCTCCTGTAAGCTGATCTCTTGTGTGTTTGGTCACCATAGTGATAAAGGCTGAGCTAACACAACTTCCCCTCAATGGAAAGCAAACCAAGAACAGCAATTTAAAAAAACAACAGATGGAACTGTGTCTTCGTTGAGTTGTTCTAAGGCCCAAATTGTTTTTGGCAAAAGGAAAACCCCCCCCCCCCCAGCAACTTGCAAATGCTTCTGTGATGGTTTGATCATGAAATATCCCCCACAGGCTCTTGTGTTGAGTGCTTAGTCCCTAAATGGTGGTGTAACTTTGGAAGATTCTAGAAGCCTTAGGAGGTGGGGCCCATCTGGAAGGCCGAGGTCATTGGGCAGGTCTGTGTGTGTCTGTGGGGCATCCTTGGCCACTTCTTGATCATTGCTCTGCTTCCTGTCCATCACAGGTTCAAGACCTTCCTCTTCTACAGGATGTTCCTTCTAAGACAGGCGGTCATGGATGAAGCCATCTGAAACCGTGAGTCAAAGAGAATCTTTCCTCCTGTAAGCTGATCTCTTGTGTGTTTGGTCACCATAGTGATAAAGGCTGAGCTAACACAACTTCCCCTCAATGGAAAGCAAACCAAGAAAGCAAAAAAGACAACACATGCACTCCACTTACTGTCAGTAGAAATTGGGCTGTATCCCAACTCCGACTTCACCGTGTGACCTTTGTTATGCTGCCTTGGCATTGTCTATAGTTCTTACCCGAGCTCTGAGGCTCACTCGTCATGTTAGATCAGGAACATGCCTCTAGTATAGGGTGCTTTCCACACATGGGTAGGAGGTGTAAGGTCCAGGTGACGCTGTTGTCAGGATTCTCCTCCTTCCTGGCATAAAGATTTAGACATGGCTGCCTCAGCTTACTCTGTGACCCTCTCCTCCCCAAGGGACTCTCAGATTCTAGGTGCTGTGCTAAGGTGGTCTGTCCACTTTCTAGGGCTGCCATAACAAAGCCACACATGCTGGGACACTTATGGTCACAGAAATGCATTGTCTCACGTTTGGAGGCCAGAAGTCTGAAGTCAAGATGTCTGGCAAGATGGTTCCTTGCAGAAGCTCCCAGGGAAAGAAACTCCAAGCCTGTGCCTCTAGTGGCCAATGGGAGCCATGTTGCTTTGCTTGTAGATAGTGACCAGTCCTGTCCTCCATTGTACATGGTAGAGTACCTCCCCCTTCTCTTCTGTAAGGATGCTTGCCAGTAGATTTGCAATCTGCTTTAACACCCAGGGTGATCTGGTCTTGAGACCCAGAAGCTCATGACATTAGCAGTGACCTTTAAGATTCCAATCACAAGCTCTGGGTGGATATCTAATCACTTAGTATGTTCTAATCCCTTTGTGTATGATGATACCCTCCAACCCAAGGCTTAAGAAGACTAGAGAAATTCTTTTAGGCTTATTTGGTCCTTAATAACCTGGGCAGGTCTGTCTTAACTTCAAAACTATGCTTTCATCTAAGATACAGTGTTCCAACTGTCTTCCTTGGGCTGAGATGACTGTTGAAAGGGTGATATGTCTTTCTTGACGTCATACAGCCAGGAGTCACACGTCAGCTTGGAGCATCCCCAACAGACTCCTCTTCACCCATACAACTCTCCTTCAGCCCCTTTGCAGTATATCAGGGAGCCCTGAAGGCTGAGCTGGAACCTTCTTATGTACGCCCTTGGCAAGGGGGCTCCCCTCCCTGCTGGGTGTGGGGCAGCCTACCCTGCCTCTGAGCTCTGTTTCTGACCCTCCTGATCAACTTTTCAATATGTGATGGGCAGGAGCATTGGCGGGGGATGAGGGGTTATCCACAGTTCATCGCCTCTCTCTTTACAGCTGTGTTCAGGAACTTAGTGAGATGATTAGATGTGAGCTTCACACTACATGAATTTGCTTCCCAGCTGTGGACTGGCCAAGTCATCTGAGCAGGCCACGTGACAGATGTGAGCCTTGACGTGTTCCAGACTGGGTTCTGCCACTTGGTTTGGATGACAGGAACAGTTGCAGCCCGGATTCTTTGATGCTGGCTGTTTGGTTTCATAAACATTATATGGAAAGTTATAAAAGAGCGATAAGACCTTCCAGTTTTACCACTGAATGGAAAGTCATCCACACAAAGACTTTATAACCATCTTGCAGCAATTTCAAGGCTTTGTGTGATTTTAGCAGATTAGGTATTAAAGGCATCTCTGAAAGAAACAGCGACCTTTGGTCTCATAGGACTGAAAGGCAACAGTCCAGCTTCTGTGTGGAGGCTGGGCTTCTTCGGGTGTAGACACCCACCTTGGCTGGCCACCATTTCCTCTGTCCTGCCTGCCGTTCCCCTCTCGCTATGAGTTAGAAAGAGCCATTTACAGCCTAAACCCGGGTGACAGTGAGGAGAGGACTGGGGCTGAGGGCCTGGGTTCCTGTGGGGAGCTAGCTGCCACTCACCTGAGGGTTTTGGAAGCCGTACTTGCCCGAGCCTCAGTTTCCACATATGCCAACCAGACACTGTCAGTGTGTCATTCCAGGGAGGAGGTCAGTTATCAAGTGCAAAGCATAGGTTTATCATTTTGGGGCCAACTCAGATTTCAGTTAATATTAACTTTGGTTAATATTGTTTAAATAAAATTTGAGAATTATGTGCCCAGTGTGATGCATAATCCTTTTTCCTGACAGGTATATATTTAAATGAGTCATTGTTTACTTAAAAACCTTACTTTTTTTTTTTGCTATTGTATAGTTGCACACGTAGGTGGGCTTATCCCTAGGACTTCTAGAACAAAATACCACAGACAAGTGGCTGAAAACGTGTATTTATTCTTTTATAATCTGGGCAACCAGTCCAAGGTCAAGGTGTATTTATTCTTTCATGATCCAGGAAGCCAGTTCAAAGTCAAGGTGATGCCTGTGCTCCCTGCCAGTGCTGTGTGGGAGGAGCCTTCCTACCTCATCCAATGCCTAGAGGCTGTAGGTGGTCTGCCCCTTGCAGTAGCATCCCTAGGTAGCTGCCTCTGTCTGATCATGCACCTGATGCACCCACTTCTTTTCCCCCATAAAGATACTTGTCCTTGAATGAGGGCCCACCCAGATAATCCAAGATGATCTCATCTCCAGATCATTTACATCTAGAAGAGCTTCACGACTGTCATTGTCCAAGTTTCCAGAGGTATCTTCAGGGGCCACAGCTTGCCCGGAAAGGTACAGGTCATAGGAAGCTGTCCAAACATGCTATTAAGGTGAACCCAACCCAGTGCTGCTTTTCTGAGGCACACCCGTGTTTCCATGGCAACCCATTTACCTTGCCCGGATGTTATAAGGGCTCTCAGTCTTCTTACCCTCCACTGCTTGGTGCCCCTGCAGTTCCCATGGGCACATCAGTGTTGTGGCTCATTCTCAGATCCTGGAGCCCCTGTCACCCTCCACCTGTGAAGTTGTGGTTAGCTATCCACCAAGATGAGCATCTCCTGTCCCACAGTCACCCTCTGAGGAACTCCTGATTGACCATATGCCAGGGCACTGACTGACTTGGCCAAAAGCCTATCCTCTGCTCTACCCATCCTTTATAGTCAGGCAAAATCGTTATTCTAGAAGGCTCTCTACAACCACATTTCTTCTTCATCGCTGGTCTCCTGTCTGCTGCTCCGTCACTCCATCACCCACACGTATCATTCCCTCTGTTCCCCTGCTTGACCTTCCTGCCTCCTCTCCTGGGCACCTTCCCCAGGCAGGGAAGCACCACCACGGTGCTTTGTTCTCCCTCTGACCCTCCTGCTACTCTACCAGCCAGTCTCTGAAGGTTCCAAGTCCCAGGGCCCAATGTTTCCACCCCTTGGTCCCTGATTGGGGATGGGACCTGGCACATGGTAGATGTTCCACAACAAATGTTTTCTCAGAGAGTTAAAGATGCCTTTCCCCTGGCCTCTGAGCACCCCTCCCCCAGCTTGGCTACTGGCCCCCAAATTCACCTGCTCGTTCCTCCTCATCGTCTTGACCACACTCAGGTCCAGCGCAGCCCAGTGACCTTCCGTCTGATCCCAACACAGCTGCGGTAGTCTGAGGCCAAGTAATTCTCAGCAAGTCTCTGGGACCTCAACATCCCTGAGCCCCCACAGAGTGTGTGTGTGTCCGGCTCCCTGTCCACCTGTAGGGCAGCCCGCCCAAATGACATCACTTTCAGTATTGAGAGATGAGTGCCGTAGGGTGGCATGAAGTTCATTTCCAGACTGATTCTCTCAGGCCTGGATGTAACAGACCTCTGCTCTATGGACCAGGAATTATTTGTTGCTGAGCATCCTTCTCCAATCCCCAAGGTTTCTTTTACTGCCACTAGCAGCCCTGTTCCACCCTCTCTTCCCAGGGCAGAAAGACACAAGCAAGAACATTAGAGAGGTGGTTGGAGGTCCAGCCATCCAGTGCCTGCTCAGCAGGGCTGACTCCTTCTTTTTGGGAGGGGTGGGACTCTCTGGGTGCCTGTGGCAGGACAGAGTAAGTGGGTGCGAAGTGGATTCTGGGCGTGGGGAGATATCAGAGGAGAGGCTGGCTGGGTTCAAGTATTTGGCCAGACTTGTCGGGGGAGAGCCAGAGGGAGGGCAGGTGATCAGGGGCTGGGGTCCCAGAGGGACCCTCCACAATGCAGGATGGCTGGGCATGGCCATGAGGTCAGGTGACCTTCTGCTTTAGACCTCTGGCTTATGATTTCCTGCTTCATGGATGTGAGTGATCCCCACTGTCCCCAGACCTGAGTCTCCCTGGGACATCACTCAGTTCCAGACTGACATCGCCTCTGACCTGAGCACTCAGCAAAGCTTTTTTATTGGTTGCTCATCCCTGCTCTTGACTGTGGCGAGCTGTTCTCCACACTGTAGGAATCAAATTTCTAAAGCCAGAGCACCTGGCTTCCTATGCCTCCCTGCTTCCTGTCACTCGCAAGGTGAAGACCGTAGGCTTTGGCAGACCCACTGGGACCTGGTCTCTACCCATCCCACCCCCTTTAGTCCTTCACACTAG